CCCCTGGCTTTAATTCCCAATACCAAAAAACAAAAAACCTCACATGAAGCAAATCCAACTAGATCCTAAGATCAGAAAAACTGAAGAATAAATAATAGTTAATACTATTAAATAATAAATAATAAATAATAAATAATAGTTAATACATGGAGGCTTCAACTCCAAGGAAAAAATATTCTAGGTCAAGATAAAGTATTAATTCAAAAGATACTTCAGAGTTTATCTGAAAACCAATAATTACTTTATAAGACCAACTGAAATAATTATATGAAGTGATTGCAATGGAATATCAAAAGGAGAGTTTGAATGTTCTTTTAGGTTTTGAAAAATTGGCAAGTCAGTGGCAAATCATTACTATTTGTGACACACTTTCTAGCAGCAGCCCCGGAATACTCCTGGAAATTGTCTCATAGACTGTGAGAGTCATATATGTATTTGGTAATCTTAAAATCCTTGAATTGAATTTGGYTCAAAGGATCTAGACCTTATTACTTCCTCATGTTATCATCAACATTTACTTTGACCTTCATTTGGAAAAAGGAGTCTCTATGTCCACAGGAGGCCAGTTAYGTTATTATGTGGACCTGAATTTTAGAGCATACAGGGAGTGAATTTTCTCTCATTCYCTGCAATATTAAGCAATAAATTGCTTTTGTTGACATTGCATGTRTATCCATTACAGGGCAATTTATGCAAATACAACTGTTTTATTACAAAATCTCATCATCTGAGAAAATCGTGTTACAGTCCTCTTTGAAAGTTCAACATGAAGCAGCTTCTGTGTTTATTTAAATTTTCCAGGACCATCCACGAGAGAACAATTATTGAGGCTCTCTTGGATGGCTTAGAAAAATTGTGAATGGGCATCTGTGTTCCAAACAAATTATATGACGCCTGTTAAAGCACAGATTCTTTTCTCTGATGTRATTATCTTGATTTGCTTTAACCCAGAATGACATGACAGAGCTCATCATGCTCTGCTACCAGGTGCAGGGCAGAGATAGCTCCAYTCTGGGTTCTAAGTACCTGCTACCTGAAGACTTAAGTCAGAAGGAAAATTTGAGCATTCTAAAAGGGAAAAGACATTTATAAATGAGAATTACAATCCTCCAAGTCACTCTGTTTAGAGAAAATGGAAGTGAACTCCTTCAGCCTGCTCCCAGCATACAGAAACAACAGGATTGAGCCTGTGCTTGCTTACTGTTTCTCTTTTTTTTTTCAATTTTTTTTTATTGGTTGTTCAAAACCTTACAAAGCTCTTGACATATCATATTTCAAACATTAGTTTCAAGTGAGTTATGAACTCCCATTTTTACCCCAAATACAGATTGCAGAATCACATCGGTTACACATTCACATTTTTACATAATGCCATACTAGTGACTGTTGTATTCTGCTACCTTTCCTTATACATGTGTGTGTGTGTGCGCRCACACACACACACACACACACACACTCCATACACTCATGGGAGATCATGAATAGCTCACCTCCTCTTCTTATACTTCTTATTTGGTGAAAGCAAATTAATAAGAATAGTAATTAGCTTATGAAATAAAGAACCTTGTAATTACAACTAAAGGCAGATATCATCTATTACTCAGGTTATAGTCCAACTATTCAAATTCAAAGATAACTGTCCTTATCAAGTGTGATCCACTAATGGTCAGATATTGTTGGATATTTAAATGCTTTCCCTATATCTTCTGTAATTTACCAGCCTAAGGAAGCAGGCACCATGAATCTCATTTTCTCTATGAAGAAGCCAAGGCTTACAAAATTAAACCCTGTATCAAAGTGTTTATAATACAAAATATTGGAGTTTAATATTCAAATACAGGTCTTTCTGGTACCAGAACCAGTGAGCTTGCTCATTTCTGCACCATATCACTTTACTTACACACACACACACACACACACACACACATGCACACACACAGTGAATTTGTGTCCTTGAGGGTCAACTTCAAGAGTCAGCAGATAAGGAAAGAAGTGTACATTTAATATTATCTCAAATATTCCATCAACCAGTTGGGTGTAGTAGCACAAACCTGTAATCCCAGTGACTCAGGAGGCTGAGGCAATAGAATCGCAAGTTCAAGGCCAGCCTCAGCAACTTAGAAAGACTTCTAGCAATTTAGCTAGATCCTAGAAAGACCAGAGATGTAGTTAATAGGTAAGAGGATGGCTGGGTTTAGTTATCAATATTAACATATCCCTTACCTATAAGAATATAGAGCAAGTTTTCCCTCTTCTCTTTCAGAAATATCATATATTCCTCTTTCTTTCACTAGATATCAGAGGAAATAATTATATATTTTTTAGAAGTCATGGGATATAAATACATATCTTTAAATACTAGAATAACCTTTGGAGTCACAAGATCCTCATATTGAAAGGGGTCYACAGAAATGAAACCAAATGAACCTCCCACTTTTTTGAGGCCATACTCACATGGAGTATGATACAAATTACAATTTCCCCTTCCCTCCTTCTTTCCCACCCTGCCATTTCTTATTATATAAGTATATAAGTTAATTTATTCAGATTAATTGCTCATATGATATAATTCCAATTAATTTTATTATGAATATCTCCAAGTACCATCATACTATGAGGAACTAATGTTCAGGACATCCCCTGAAGCTGAACCTTCAGTGTTCTCTCAAACTTCTACAGCAGCACATGGCTTTAAATTGATCCTCATCCCCAAGAGAAAATATTCTCAGATTGAAGGATTTCATTCAAAATGATGTCTTAAGATACAATTTTTATTTTGGAACTGGGACATTTCAATGAATGATTGGATAAAAAACACATTCTGAGGGAGTTCAGACCACATTACAMGGGCTGCTCATTTTTGCAAAGTCATTAATTAGAAATCCCTGATATTGTATCTTAAATTTCCACAGAGTGACACTAGGAAAACATAACTGTATGAACCCCATCAATGATCTGTCTTTAGAATACACTCTTTTATAAAGACTCAGAACAAAGATATGACTTGGTCCTAAAGGAAGAAAAACCATCCTTTACTGAATAATCAGCATGATTTTGACCTTATAAACCTATAAAGTTTATAATAGAATAGGTACAATTCTTTCTTTGCTTTATCCAGTACAAAGTTCAGTATTAAATTTGAGTATCTGAAATTCATCTATGAGCTCTATCTTACTATATTTACCCATATTCTCTCTTGATCTTATCTATTTGCTTCTATTCTGATATTTTAGGTATTTCTCTATGTTAGTCATATTGTGATCAAAGCATGACTCAAAGAAATAAAGAAATAAAAACAGTCATCCTAAATGAATAGGTATATCTTTGGGGACTCATGAAGTTAGTTGTTAATGAATCCTATAAATCATAGCATGGCACAAGGCCAGGGTTAAGATTTCTATACTAATCAGAAAGTTTTTAACTAAATTACACTCAATATTTCTCCGTCAGGAACACAGCAGTTGAGGCCATAGTAATGAATGAGACAGACAGGGTCTCCTGTTAGAACCTGAGGGACAAAGTAAGGGCAAAAACAAGAAGAAATTATATTAACACAAGATAAGAGCTGTGGAGGAAGATGCTAGACCAAGCCAACAGGACCAAGGATGGTGGGTGAATGTGTGTGGTCAAACCTAGAAATCATGTTCAGGATGACACAAATCTCTGATGAATTTTGAAATAACAGCTAATAATGATGCACTGAATTAAAAATAAGATTTATAACCAAACCTTAGCCCCTTTCTTCCAGCAGCCAAATGCAGATACATCAGCCATATTTTWAAAAAGACATATCTTAATAAACATGTTATCTGGGAGTCAAATACTCAAAGCTCTGTYTTCAAAACTTGTGATGTCTTTCCTCATCAAATACAACTCTTTCTTTCTTCATGATTAATTAATTAATTTTGCAATATTGGGGATTTAACTCAGGGGTGCTCTTCCAATAAGTTCTATTACTAGCCCTTTGAATAATGATAATAATAATAACCAMAATTATTATTATTATTTGAAATTTGGATATGGTCTTAGTAAGTCCAAGCTAACCTCAAACTTGCAATCCCCCTGCTTCAGCCTCCTGAGTCACTGGGATTATAGGTGTGTACCACCACACCTACCTTGGAATCTGTTTCTATTGCCCTGTTAATTTGTTCACATTTATAGTCCATTAACCACAGTAGTCAACAATCATTTCAAGTGAATAATTTTTTTACAAACAAAACTGAATTTAAGCTTATTTGAGCATAAGAACTATATAGAAATTTCCAACCATGAACACACACAAMCACATATAMAACACACACACACATACACACACATACACACATTTACTATATCTAATATTTCAGTATGTGGAAACCTTAATATTTATTGTCAAAATTCCTAAAGTGAGAATTTTGTCTCATTTTCTAGAACCTGCCAGTAGCCAATATTTGAACCTATTACTTCCAATTTGAGTTGAATAGACAAACATTAAAGAATCCTAAGTTTCACTAAATAAAACTMTCTTTATTAGAATAATCTAAAGTCCAAAAGGTTAAATACATTGTACAACCTGGATATTTTATTTTGTTTTGTCTTAGTCATTGAGCAGCATTACTGTTAGTCTTCAAATCAAAATGGAACTGTGATACGGTTCACCTAATTCTAAACCATTCTGCCCATTTTGGAAATGTATCCATGCAGAGGCACATCCAGCATATTCTCAGGTTTCTACATAGACTGGAATCTATCATCTGACAGAAGTAAGATATCAGTTATAGTACCTATTTTCTTCTGTTCATTTCTACTGGTACTTAGGGGACCTTAGTTTCACACCTTTGAAAATCTCTCTGAAAATAGCAGCATATTATAAACAAAGATGTTACAGTTGTGGTTTGCAGGATTTCGGAAATGTGAATGTGAGACGGGGTGACTCTCTGTAGTGTTCACTCAATAACGTCTAAAAGGAACCCTACAAGCCATTTGAAAAGGGTAACTTGGTGACCGCAATTGYTTCCTACCTGCCTCTTTTGAAATCTGTGTGAAGGATTCGACACCTTTTTCTCCATAACTTCCTTCAGATGCAAGAGTAGACACATAGTTCCAGCCAAGGGCCTTTACGATGTCTACCATGGCCTGGGCTTGAAAGGAATCAGGTGGGACCACACGGGAGAAGAAGTCATACCGCCGATCGTCACTGAGCTCCGGTGCTGTGGATGCATAACTAATCTGAGGGATCTGAAAAAAAGAAAGCATCACAAGAGAGCATATGGTCAGGATAGGAGCAACTCATTAATATTTATGACAGGTTACGCAAAGTACAGAGCAGGAACAGTAAAGGGGGTATGTGTTTGCCCATATTACCCTCATGTCATCTTAGACCACCTAACTATGACTACTTCTTTGCAGTACAGAAGTGTTGTTGAAGTCTTGCCCTTTCATTTTCCCTCTTAGAAGGAAAGGTTGATGATAGCATGAAAATTTCAAGGTCAGGGTTGTGGTTGATTAGGAGAAAAGCATTTATGCCCATTCTACTCAATATTGTATATTCCCCTTCATGCTTTCCTTCTTAACAACAATAGAAATAAAAGCATAACACCCTAACTTGACTGTATTCAGAGCTTGGTTTAGTTGATACAGCTTTCGAATATTTAGGAGTATAATTAGCCATTTTTTCACTGATTAAGTCCTGGAGACCTGCTAGGAAATATCCGAGTAAGCTACATGCATTGTCTAATTGAGTCTTCACAAGAATGACACAAAGCAGCTCAGCCCCATGCAAAGGCATTTCTTGCTCAGAAGAAGCCAGAGCCCTGCAGCCCTGCCTGGCTTAAGTCCATATTCCTCAGCAAACTACCTGTTACCTGCAGGAGAAATGTAAGCCCAAAATGCCAAAAAGAAAAACAGAAGTTACCCTGAAGTGGGAGACTTTTGTGACCCTTATATACACCAGATCCTAGAACTTAGGGTGATAAGGATARTCACCAGTAACCATAAAATCTGTAAGAACAGGCCCCAGTTAGAACCAGTCATTTTGGACCAAAATGATCTAGAGTGGTCATAGCAGTGGGGAATTGATAGTCTGATACCATTGTGCTGTCATTCAAAAGATAAGAGGTCGACCTGGAGGAGACTCTCTGGAAACTTCTCTGGGATCCCCAATTAAACTGGAGGGGAGGAGAGACACACTGTCCCTCTTCTCTCTGGGAGGTCCCACTATTCTCCCTCTTTTCCCCTTTCCTATTCTTTCTAATAAACTCATGCCTGTTACTCCAAAAAACATGCCTGAAATCCTTTTGGCCTGATTGCAAACAAGGGTTAAAGAGGGGGAGGGTCTCTGTGACTGCCTCAGCTTTGTGTGGGCCCATGCCCTGTAACAGAAGGTCACTGGATAACAATCAAATGGCTTCCCTTAGCCCAGGTAGTATCTCTTTTTTAGGAGCATAAGTGATATGATTACGTGAGTAGTCTTGATACCTTGATTTTAGCCAAATCAAATTATGTAAATAAAGAAATTGCATTTAAAAAGACTTGCTTACACTTGCAAACAACCAAAGGCAACCCCAAAAATAGGCCTGGATGAGGAATCTTGTTTGGAAACTAATGCCAGGAACCCTATGCTAGTTACTTCTATAATACACTAAACACACACACACACACACACACACACACACACACACACACACACCATTCTTTCTCTTAGCTCCAGCAAGTACTAAAGTATTATTAGTATAATTTGTATGTAAGAACAATCAACTCTAACAATATTCTGCTTTAAAATTCTTTCAGGACTTAACCCTGATTTATCATAATGATTTCTCAGATATCTAAAATCCAGTTATAATCTGTGTTCAGATTGTGTTCAACAGTCAATCTAGTTTGGCCCCAACATGCCAAAGCTAAAGTTAAAATGACCCTTTGAGCCCTGCATGCTCTTCAATATTAACCTTTTTGCATTTTTCTCTTTTTGACTTTTGGCTGAATGTATCCATATGACAATGTTTAAGGCTGGTTATCACTTCTTTAAAGATCATTTCTTCACTGTTCAGCTTCAAAGCCCCTGACTCAAAGCCAATGCAGAATGAGGAGGCCTCAATGTCTCTTGATGGATCTTTACCTGAGCAATTATTCTATCAGTACAGTATACTAAATCAAGACTCTACTATACCATGCTATTCTATTATTCTACTAAACTATAGCAGACAACTTTATTACTACATTACACTATATCATATTATTCTATTTCTACATTACTATATCACATGCTATTCTATTACTAAAGTGTATTACATCATACTATCCCATTACTATGCTATTCTACATCAATGCTAAACTATTTCATACTATTCCATCACTGTGCTATATCAACACTATACTATATCATACTATTCAATTACTACACTATATTATATCATATTATTCTATTTTTACACTATACTATATAATGCAACTCTATTATCAACTTGTTTTGACAAAAGAAGTAGAGAATTAAGAGAAGAATATGAAAAAAAGAAGAATATGAGCCTGTCTTAGGTCATAAAGTTGTAGAGATCCCTACTCAAACACTGCAAATGTCTAAACTCTTAATTTTACTAAACTGTTACTACGATGTTTTAATAATAATCAGRACATGAGGAAAGCCAGTACATTATGGAAGTCCAGGCTGATTTCTGCCCACAGCACAGACTAAATAGTCATTAAAAGTTATTTTGTTAGTCATTCTTAGACTCTGTTTAGACATTTTATTTAAATTCCTTGGTAGAAATGCATGCAAATATTTTTATAGAATAAGTGTTGTTTATAGTTCAGAGGTTTAAGTATGAGTCAAGGAAATCTAATAAATAAAGACTTTGGGAGAAAAGGGAGGGAGGGAGGAAAAGAGCCTTCTCTTCACAACAAGTAAAAAGGGAAGAAGCCAAGCATGTCAATCCTTTTCCATGAATTTCAACTTATGGGAATGCAAAAGCTTCGTACTTTTGCACAGATGCCATTCCTGCCAAAAACCCTTCCACCTTGGAAACAGTGCTAATAAAGATATACTCAGCATTCTATTTGGATTTGCATTAATGTAGCTGCTGCAAAACATCATAATTGGAAAGGCCTCAATGTAAATGAATTTTCTAAACTGTGCCCCAAAATTTCATAATGAAAATCCCAGTGAAGCAGATTTCCTTCCTCATCAACACTTGGACTTAGAAAATGACTGCTCTCTATGGTTGTCCCTTCCAGTGTAAATAAGCAATATCTACTGGCTTAAGATCTATGTTTCCCTTTAGGATCATGCACAGGTTCTCCATTTGATGATACTTGTTTCTATATTACACATATAATGATGCTAGAGTAAGAAATGGAAGAATAAATGAATTTCATTTCTGAGATAACAATATAAATTTACAAAGATATCTCTTCCAGTAAGAGAGATGACGGACTGGAAGGGTTTATGTAACCTAGGAAAATATTTAGCCATTATGCTTCTTATTTGGACACTTGTTTCCAAGCTAATGTTTAAGTCTACACCATCATTATTTGGAGGTGTGGGTTACAACTGGTATATACAACTGGCCAAGTGATTATTAGTCAACTATAGTGATTAACTTCTGCTCTGTCCTTGATACCTAGAGATACTTTCTCTTTCTACTATTAAAACCCTCTCTTCATGCCAATCTCTTATCAAAGTCAAGAACTGATCTTTAATAGAAACAATTCAGTGTAATGATTTTCCAGCTATAGATAATAGACATTACGTCCCTTCATGAGGCTCCTTTTCCATTTAGAAAACTTGAACATTTTTATATTTATCATAGAGATAAAATGTCATATTGTTTTTCTTTTTTCTCATTTCATAAAAATTGGCCTATCATCACACAAGAATGGTTTTGTTAATGATTGAGTCTCCAAGCTTTGGAAGTATACATAGCTTACTCTACACGCTTTTACTTAGGAAACTAACAATAAATATTATTTACAAAAAAATACAGAGAATAAAAACCAAGAAAATCAGTTAATGTTAATTCCTGCATGCCTTTTAACATTTGTTATATCTTTTTTTATTGTCCTTGTTTGTGTATTTGGCTATGCATACATATGTTATTCATTATGAGAATTTGAATCTTGGTCTCTTCTTCCCTCCTCTCTTTTTCTCCCACCTCTGTTTCTGGTTGCATAATATTCTGGTTGACTATTTAACACCCTTTTCAAGCTTCACGATCATTAGAAGTCAAAACAAAATCCTCAGACCTGATCAAGTCCCTTGTACACATGTAYGCATCCTTCCTTGGACATGTTCAAGACTCTGTTTCTCCAAGTGACAGAAGTATCTCTGCCCCTCACTGAAATCTTTCTCTTCATGGAAATTACTTTGGGTTGTCACATAAGGTAGAATAGCAATATGTATCTTTTTGCACTTGAATGGGTAGCTACTTGTCCCAATACCATCTATTAGGTAATTATTCATTCTTTACTGACAATTCTCAAACAATGGTGGGCCTTTGGGTGGGGTGTATCTTTTATTATTCCTCTTTTCTGTATTCTAAATCTTGGGTCAGCATTTTACTATTTTAGTTCTTACAAGTATAGAGTATTTCAAGCATATATTATTTGCAATATTATCCCTTCCCCTTCTTTTCAACTTTTCTTTAAAAAAATGACAAATCACATATGCTTAGTTTTCCAAATAAACTTTAGAATAAGTTTTTTCAAGTTCAAAAGAAGTCTATTAAGATTGTTGATGAGAATTACATTATAGCCATAAACTAATTTAGGCAGAATTGAAACATTTACAGTATTTTGTTTTCCCTCAAGGGAAAATAACTGTTTTCATTCACTCACTTGTTTATTCTTTTGTTAGTAAAATTTTGTAATTCTTTAAATGTGAGTATTACACATTACTTGTTAAATTCGTCTCTAAGTAATTATRATTTTCATTGCATCTTGCAATGAGAAAATATTACGAGTTTGTTATCTATCTATTGCTGGCATGTAAGAATCTATTGGTTTTTGCATGTTTTTTGACTTGTATCCTTATTAAAACTTTCATTACTTTTAATAACTTACACTTTATTTTCTTGGGATTTTCATGTAAGTTATAGTAATTCATTCAGTTTTATTTACTAATTATATAATGTAGAATTTTGAGAATGAGATGGTGGGGAGATTGTTTTCCCATTTCCTGTTTCTCAACAGTGAGCATTTTAAAATTAGAATTTATCCCCTTACCTTGAAAAATTATATAGTCCAGA